AAGTTTCATAAAACAAAAAACTACCATACATTGGTATTTTATTTCAAATTCTCGAAAATTTTATTTGTACACAACATTATTAGTTCTACTTAAAATTTATCAACTTGAGAAAAAAAAAGTGATGGGTGGGCTGAAATTTATCAAGTTGAAAAATAAGATAAGGATTAAAATTGATGAGAATTGAGATAAGTGACGTGTTTAATTAAGATTTTATTAATTAAATTATCAATATAATTATATTATATAATTTTAGCTCTACATTATTCATTACGCAAACAAAGACACAGACTCAAAAACGAACTAAAATTCATCAACTTGAAAAAAAAAATATATGATTGAATGGAATAATTAGTAAAATGAAATAAGGAAAATAATCATTTGTGTAATTTTTAAATTGAAGACAAATTTGGTAATGAAAGAGAGATTGATGGGAGACAATAATGTATTGTGAAAAAAATTATATATGATACTTTCCAAGCCAATTTTGTTTCTAAATTTTCAATCCGAACCTAAATGCAAACATGATATTGTGACATGTATAATTCCAAAGCATGCGAGTCTGCCACTTGACTCAGCACGTTTTGAATTAATATATAAGAGGAATGAGATTTGATTAGTTAAACAAAATAAATAATGCTGAAGATGAATTGATTGGATAATTAAATGAGCACATAAGATAACCATTAAATTATGTGGAAGGTGAAATCGTGGAATGGGAATAAATCAAATCAAATATGTTCACTCTAAAGATGGAATAAAGTTGAAGATGGAATGATTGTTTAAAAACTAAATCAAATCAAAGCATGTAATTATAGTATGTTTGACCTGTTTATTGGGGATGTATTTATATAATTTTTTATCCTAGTCAAAAGACGAAGCTTGTAATGCTTCTATGTAAGTTCGAAGCGTGCGAGCCAACCATTTAGGCTCAGCGCGTTTTGAAATTATATCAAGTGGGATAATTCAATTTATTTAGAAATTATATAAACATACAACACATTAAAAAATTTATATGTTAAATGCAACACTTTATAATTAATTTTGTACCAATAGAAATTTTAATTTGCATTTTTTTTTTTTTTCGAAACGACAGATATTATATCTCAAAAGAATAATTACATAGTTCTGGGGCACACGGCCCAAATGAAATAGAGCATGAATGAGGAGACCGAAGCTCCTTAACAATACAAACCACAAGAACCGAGATTGAGCCCCAACAAGGTTAAGCATAGAACCTGAGGTTCAAACTCGAATCTGATCGGTCCTACTAATATCTGAAGATGGATATCAGCACCCAAGCAAAAATAACTAACCACTGCACCCATAGGGATCTAGTTAGTTATCAAAACACTACCGAGAAAGAAACAACAATCAAAAAGCGCAAAAGCTGTACATAAATCCTAGAATTTGCAATTCATTGGTTGTCTGTTTAGCCAGAAACCATTTGGTATGCATGTTTCTAGTTCTGATTCATTTAAAATAGATATTTTTTTAGCTGATTGATTGATTGGTGTAATATATATTGAGATCACAATATCTTGTATCAACAACTTAACTTAACATGCCCATGGTGTACATTTCCATTTAGGATTTTGGATTTTATTCACAACTCATATCATACGTAGTGTTAGTTTCTTAGCTTACCTGTGATCAAAATCGACATAAAATCTCAGAAGTGAGGAGAAAATGCTTGAAGAAGAAGAGGATTTAATGCGAGCGACACCTCTTATTTGAATCCTGTCTCGAGCTTTTTCGTAGTTTGTGTTGTGACAGTAAAGTAGACTATTGTAAGGAAAATACACATTTTTCATAATCCTAACAAGCAGATGGTTGAAGTTCAGAGTGCAATTTTCTAGAAAAACAGCATTCAAACACCCATAGTAGCAGGGGAGGACTGAACATAAAAGAAAAAAGCCCACAACACTTCTTATTCCAGTCGCTGAAAAACAACACACATTAACAACTCAAAGGGACCAATTCACATGATGGACATCCAGCTCGTGAAATCCCCCATCGTTCGGCTGGCCCAACTCGAGCTCTCCATTGTACCCACCATTCGGTGCCTGGCCCAAGCCCAAATCTGGGGCCATCCCATTCAAGCCTCTGCCATTAGGTCTATTAACCTCGTTGCCCTTAAAACCCCACGAGGGACAAATGAAGTGGTTAGTGGCCGTGCTGGGATTTTCTGACGGCTGACCGAGAAAATTGCTGTTCGGCGCAAGACGGGCCTGATTTGACAGAAGAGAGAGAGCATTGTTGGAGTCTTGGACTCCACCGAGACATTCGGACACGACAGGAGAAGAGTGACTATGCTGACATGGCGGAGGGTTTTGTAGGTTGCTTATTAGCTTTGGGAGATGGACTTTTGCTGACATGGCGGTTTGTTTCGTTGTTAGTCCTCCCGTGAGGGATGGGGGCATGCAGTTGCTGAAGTCCATCATGAAGCCTCCGGTTTTGCTAATGTGGTGGTTATCTGCCATGGCAAAGTTTAAAAAAAAAAAAAAATGGTATCAGTTTTGAGCAAAAAGTAACCCCTGAAATCTAGCCTTAAAATGCTACATTATTCTTCCGAAATTACGAAATGATGTCCAACCAAATATGGAAGGAAAAAGTGTTCCACAATGAGGAAACAGCATAGATCCTTGCTGTGGCTTTCGCCTACGCTCGTTATGGTCTGCAAGGCGCATCCTACAGCTCCGTTTTCCTTCATCAAATTAAGGCAATAGATGGAATCTGAAGGATTGCTAACAAAGAAGCTATTATCACAACATTAAGGTAATGGTCTAAGTGAAACTTTTAATAAAAAGCTCGCTCGATAACTGTTGCATCATATCGTAATAGTTAAGTTTGGTTCATTATTATTTGTCATTCCATAGGTGACCTTACTATTCTCTTTGTGTCAAGTAGAAATTACCCAATTTGACTATCATCAAGACACACCTGAAAAATCCAGCCACCGAGAAGAAAACTTTACCCTGGAGGAGATTTACCAATTCACACAATATATGCAGCTTTGAATTACTTGTTTTCAGCATTTCCCGTGGTGGGCATGTTGATTATTCAAGAAATTTACTATGGAAGAGAGAGTAATAACAATAATCTGTGTCATAATCGTAAGTCGTATCCTTCACGGCTGTAGAATTAGTGAGACATATATCATCTGTAAGCATCTCAGAGTACTTGAGCACAAAAGAAATACTATTTTGCCATTCGAGCACAACTTTATCTATATAGTTTCCCCAACCTAATTTGTCTATCCATGTTCTTCATTCCTTTATTTCATTCTGTGCCTAGGTATCCACTGAATCTCAAGGCTCAAATCAATCTTTCAAACTATACTGGAAGTATTTACATTTCTCTTAATCCACAGTAATTTCGAAAGCCCGAAAATATCAGAAACTAAAAACACAAGAATGCAACATGTAGAAGGAACTCAAAAGGAAGAACAGCACAACTTAATCACAATGCAAGCAATTTAACACAACCAAATTCTCCTCAATCCCCACAAACCAACATAAAACCATTATCCACACAGACTACACCAACCAACTACATACCACCAATCACTGATGTATCTTCAACTAAATGTATACTGAATCCAATCGAATCCAAACGTTGACATTTTTTTTTTTCTTTTTTGTTACAGAGAAAAAATACAAATATAAAATGCTAAGGATATATAAGAACTGAAAATTTAATTTGAAAAAATAAATAAATAAATAAAGGAAAAGAAAAATCTGACCTGCTGCACTGCTGGCAAAACCTCTTCTCAAGCCCAGCAACAATTACCATTGCGGACTTGGAATGCATACCACACACTTTGTGCCTGGAATAGTAAGCCTTAGCATCACTTAGATCTACCTTACAGCCCTCCACCTGGCACCTCGGCGGCTTCCCCCCCTGCACGTACCCAGCCCTCAACCTCTTCGCCGGAGACGGCTTCAGCCCGGTGCCCCCGCGGCCCTCGAAATAGATTTTCTTGCCGAATTTCAAGGCGTTGAGAGAGTCGGGTCCACCATTATTAGCAGATGCAGAGGAAGACGAGGATGAGGACGATGAACCCTGTTCCATTCTTGAAACTTTTAGAACCCACCATCCATTGCTGTTGCCTGAATCAAATCGAAAACAACACATTATTATAAACTGATAAAGATTGGATTTTTCTCTCTTTTTTTTTTTTTTTTTTTT